TTCCAATATTTCACTGGAAACAGGAAAAAAGAAGAGCCTCCTTGACTCAACTTCATGGAGCTTCCAGGATTTTGATGAAGCTTTTTCTTTTCTTTTCTTTTCTTTTGACTGGGAGTGAACAGACAGAGGCACAACACACTAATGGATTCACTGAATTACACATCATAACAGAAGTTAGTCATTGTTACTGGATAAAAAGGAGCTCCCTGATTTTGTTTTGAGGAGCTGGAGAAGTCTCTCAAGAACACGGTTATCTACTGTAGGTCTGTTTCTGTGCGAATGTGTATATTTCCTGCATGCTTCCGGTCAGTATGTGAGTGTATTGCTATGGCTCTTTCTGATTACTGTATCAAGCTGTATGTTTGTTATGTATGTGTATGATTTGTCATTATGTGGTGGTATGTGGTATCAGTACTGATGGTAGTAATCTGGGCCGTCTACACCATAGAGCTCCGCCAGGGTCCTGAACCTCGGGCCCCAATTGTTGAGAAAGTCATAATCCAAGTTCGAACCAGTAGAGGAACTTCCCAGAGAGCTGAGACTTCCGGCTAAAGACTCGGGTCCCTCGTAGCCGTAGATGTGGAGGGTGTCATAAGGGAATCCGTCTCGGTCGTGATCAGCTTCGTCTTTCTTTACCTCAATCATCGCTGCCATGTCGCCCTTACATGCGGTGGGCTGAGTGTGGTGGGGGGGTTTCTGGACCATGGCGTAGAGTGAGGGGTGGGGGCGGTGATCTTGGTGGCGAAGCAGGGAACCGTCATGGCAAGCGGAAGTGAGGATTGAGACATCATAACTAAAAGAAAAGAGGATAGAGTGAGTAAATTTGCTGATCACATTTCTTCATCACAGAGATTTTCTGGGTACGGACGTTTAAATATGTCCACTGACATATTTATTACAGAATGCTTAATGCTACAGCTCAACTATCAAGTTATATTTTATCTTTTTGTCTTTTTAAATATATTTTAGAAAGTCACCAATAGTAATGTAGTGTCTTAGCTACTCTGCAACTTAGATATTCTTATATTAACTTGCGTTTGTGGCTTTTATCGGCAAACAGTGAGTTCTGGTACATTTAATATGGATAGTTTACCTGAATTATGTGGATCTCTAGTGATATTTAGATTTAGATTAGGTAAAACTAAGTCAGTAGATAAGATTAGATTAAAGTGCAGATAAATGGAGATATCGGAGGTAGCACACTTTATTATTTGTTGTCAAGGATTTTATAATAATAAAAGGATTATGCAAAGAAACCATAAAAAAGCATAAGAAACGCTGAATATATCTGTTTCATTTATTTTAAAAATATGAATATCAGGATGTAAGCAATAGAAACATAGACAGTATAAGGTAAAGAGGAATGTTTAAATGTTTAAAAAGCTGTCTATGTTCCCAGTAGACAGTTTCAATCCTACATTTAAATAATTAAAGCTCCCTTCAGTTTTTGTGAGCTGGTTTTTTTTTTATGCATGGCAGCCACAAAAGAGAAATTAATGACATAAAAAGAGCATTAATGGCCTCACTGGCATTGCTGAAAGTGTGAGTAAGAAGCAACATTTATTTTACATTTTTACTTAAAATTGATTTTCTGTCATTCTTTGACAAGACTTTATAAATTCTTGGGTTTTTGATGTTTCATTTAGAGGTTAAAAATCTTTCCTTTGAGAGGTTTATAAAGAAAATAGAATCAAATGTAAGTCTGCAAAAAAAGGGGCGCTGCTGATAAACCATGTCAGCTCATTTCAGTTATATTCAAGTTGTCAGTTTAAAAGTGCATGGCGGTGCTTCTTTTCATCTGCATACCCATTAGTGTCCATCTCTCCTCCTCCCTCCTCATCGTATGTGACCAGCTGCTCGTGAATCTCTCCGCTGTTTTTCATATTGGCCAGAGAATCCTTCTGGTAGCGTTTCCTCATCACGAACAGGATCACTATGACTTAAAAGCAGAAAAGAAACGTGTGTTTAGAATCTACTTGGCTGACATCCAGCACAGCGAATCAAAACTGCTGTTGGTAGAAAATGAAGACATCAACAGTAAAACAAAAAGACAGACTGCATTTACTCATTTATCCTTTCAGACCAATGGCTCTATGACTGTGAAATCATGATAAAGACTCGCAACCAAAGCAGAATAAGAATGGGGCCAGGAAACAAGTGAGAAAAGTAGAGCACTGACAAGGGAATGAGACTAGAGGACAGTGCAGTGACGAAGGAGAGAAAATGAGGAATAGATGGTATAAGGTATCTCAGACGTTCGCCCCAAGCGTGAAAACCTTAAGTGAATCTACTCAGCCAGAGACATGCACAGAGTAACTGCACAAAGAAAGACAAGAAAGGGGAGCATAAAAGACAGGAAGGGAATTTCAGTAAACACAACAAGGGAAGTGGAAATGAGTGTGAGAAAACAACGTGCAGGGGTGTTGAGAAGGAAAGGAAAGAGAAGCAGATGACGATGAAATAAACAATTGTGAAAGAGAGAAACGGGGGAGGAGGGGGTGTAACAATGGGAGTCTTAAATCACAAAATCAATAAAGAAAAACATTTGTTTCAGATCAAGAAACAAAGACAATTATCAGACTTGAGACTTTTAATTATGTCTGTCTCAAAAACAATCGAGGTAGCATGCTGTGCACAGGGCAAAATATTCTAGCAGAACAAGGCCTAACTCTAAATCGAATTAAACGTGCAAGATTATAGATTATATGAAAGTATAATCTGACTCGAACTGTGACATTAGTAACTTTAAAAATTCCACTGGAACATCAATCAATCTGTGTTCCTGTAGTAAGCAGCTATGAACCAGTATGCTGTTATTAAGTATGTCTTTTATTTCCACACAGAAACCCAGCTGTGAGGGAGGTGGGTTGCAAAGTGGCTTAAACATGTAGAGCAACTGTGGGCAGGCTGAAGCAGCTATGCACTTGATTAGATATCAACCAATTGGATGCGTAGAAGGATAACAGCTGAGCTCGACTTCATAGTCTGCATGAAATAGCTCTTTGCTATTGTGTGTAAAACAATCTCAGAGAGAATGATGGGCAGCCCCTTACTATAATCCCCTTATGATTTTATCTACAGGCCGTTAGACTAGAGCCGGTCTGATCATTCATAAACTGAAGCTATAACTGTAATTGTTTCCAGAACAACCAGGCTTACTCTAAAATTAAACAAATTGACTTGTACACAACATTATGATGGCATTAAAGTGGGTTCAAAAGGCCAAACTTGATAAAAAGTAGGGTAAAAGAAGCTCAGTAAAGTTTTTGATTACACGCTGCATGTCAGTGGGCACAGAGTACAGAGGACAAGGAAGCAAGAGAAAAAAGAAGAAAACAAAAAAGGGGGGAGGGCACTGATTGAGGGGAGGAGGAAGTGGAAGAAACTGGCGACTTAGGGGTGAGGAAATCAGGAGAGAAAGAGAGCGACAAGGAGAGAAGGAAGGATACATTTGACATTAGATTAGGCCCAAGCCTCGGTCCCGATATGAACCTCTTTCTCTCTCAGCGGACGGGCAGCATTAGCCATGCCTTTTAGTTGAGGGTGAGTGGGACTAATTTAAGTTTGCATGGGAAACCAACAGATTAATCTTTTACAACACATGCTCTGCAGTTTAATAAGCTCTGGAGATATCAGACTTAGAGGGACAAGAAAAGAGAGGGGGGGAAAAAAAGAAGCCCTTTCTTTAGAGAAGAAGGACTGAGAAAAAATGTCTTTTCGTGTGTCAAACCCGGCTTCATGTGAGAAAATGTGCCTGTGAATGGGGAGCACGCTAAATTGCTTTGGGCCCTGACAGATAATGACAAGTGCATTAAATAGTTAATCTAGCCTGTGTTGGGGCTGTTTGATAAAGAGAAGGAGAGATAGAAGGGGGAAGTTAGGGAGACAGAGAGACCCACAGGGAAAGAAACAGAGGAAGGGGGAGATGAAGGGAAAAAATGAAGGGGAAAAGGCCCGATAGTGAAGGAGTGTATTAATAGTTAATAGGTTGAGTGTTTGGTGGTGCTTGATAAGCAGACGGCACCTAAAGAACTGATAAACTCCCCTCATTACCACTCCTATTCTTCTGCTGCTTTTCCCACAATTCTCCTCTTCCCTGTCTCTCTTCTTTAACCTCTTTCTGTCTCTCTGTCACTCAGCCGGTCTCATTCCACCTCAATTCACCGTCTTACATCTGTCCGCCTGTTTCAGCACTCTCCACATCCAATATCTAAGTCTTGATATACACTTTTTTCCACGTGTCACTTTGCCTCCATCCCTCCTCATCTTAAAGTTCCTCTTCTTTTTTTCCTTCCTTCTTCAGTACATCTCATTCCACATCCCTCTTGTTTGGCCAAGTATCTCCAGTGTGCCTCTCATCCAACATGACAACTGTCTCTTTTTCCCAAAGAAATACAAAAAAGGCAGGGGGCGAAGGTATCAAAGAGAATATTGAGCGCACAACTACAGGCATTATTTTCACATCCGCCGCTGCATTATTCATAAAACCAACAACACCAGAAGGGGAAAACGTTCCCCGCAAAACACAAATCTTATTTATCGCAAAGCAAGGGCAAGTGAATCTGTGCACGTGTCCCGATCACTCAGCACTGGCTTTTTGCATCTATCACTGATGCTATCTTCATGAATTTCTCTCAGAGAATAACAATATATATATACAGAAGTTCTCTGCTTACCGGTAAAAAGTTAAAGAAGAACGAAGAAAAGTACTATTTTTACATTACTGTCTGTCTAAACATTTAGGCATCTATCTTTGATTCAATCTTCAAATATTTCACAAAAGCTTGTTTATTATTTGTTGTGTGTAAACGCAAACAAACCCAAAACAAGGCGAGTGAAAATGTTGTTTTTTCCCTGTTGTTTAGAATTTTTTTTCAAGTCCTATTGTTCATTTTTTAAACTTTTCCTACTTCCAACAGCAACATTTTTTTTATCCAATCTCTATTCCAGGCATAAACATGGCTGTCTACAAAGTGGGTTAAAATGTGACATGTTTCATTGCCCTTTCAGTTTGAAGGTTGTATCTCCTTTTTTACTTCCAGATCCCCTTGGGTGTGCTTTGCTTCATCCATACCCAAATTATGTTTGTTTGTTTTTTTCAGCTGCTATCTCATTAGTTTATTTGATTTGGCACATTTTTTATACCCCTCTCATTTTTCCAAGCATGTGACCCCTTTCAGCATTTTTTGTGTTTCCTCCTGGTCTCAAACCAGAGATCTTTCACACATAAGGTGAAAGTGTTAACAACTACACCACAAGACTCCAGATCACACCCTGGAGTACACTTCAGTGAGTCTCTGAGGGTGAGAAAACACATCTGACCACTGGAGAACAGTGGAAAAATGGATTTTTAGATAAGATAAATTTCTAGCTTTGAAATCAGTCAAAATGCTTTTGCATTTCACGAGCCAGACCGAGTGCAGAAATTAAACAATTCTGCAAAATGAAAATGGTTTTGTTTCTGAATGTTTATTGGCTTTGTTATTCCAAGCAAAACAGGAAAAAATATTTTTTGGAAAATAGTCAAATGTTGGAAAAAGCCAAAAATAATTACTGTTGTAAGACAGAAGATGACATTAAGCAGGTCCTCTGGTATTAAAGGTGAAAAGCTATAGTCTTAAGAAAAAACTTGTCATTTGGATATATGGATTTTCCTTTTGCATTATAATCCCATCATTATGTGCACTGATATTGCACATGCCATTATGTGTAACTTGGACAGATTCTACAAAACGAATGCAAAAAAATGCAATAAATATTTCAATGCATTTCCCATACTTTCAGCATAAATGCAAATATTCTGGGAATGATGTGTTTTCACCTTTCTATATATTCTAACACAGACAAGCATAAATAAACTTAAAACAATATAGAGATAGTTACTCAAGCAAATTCACATGCAACCAAATCAGGATCTATTACCTAATATTATAACAACTTAAAACTTCATTTTCATATCGTATTCATGATGGACAGTCTAAAAAAGGATGCTGAAAAACCAGATATATCATTATGCTTTCTTCCTGTCAAAACCTGACACCTACAATACCCAGAATGCAACTCAACCACTGATAGATCTGTCAGATATCTGTTCAGGTTTCTTTTGGCCTCAAGCAAAGATGAGCAGAGAACAGACGTCATTGATTTTTATTAACTCCATACCTGCACACCTTCTAGTCATTTGTGGCATCCTTAAGGTTCAGATTTTATGCAGCTAAAAAATAATTTTCTTATAAACATTAATACTTAATACTCTTAAAAAAGCCTGTACACAGACTATAGCATTAAAATTCTCAAGGTTAACCCTTTAAGATGGTTCTAAAAGTCAAAACAATGAAAGAAGGTAGAAAAAACAAGTAGTATAACAAAAAAGGAAAAAATAACTTACCGAGAATTGTCAGTATGCAAAGCAAAATGGCTGTCAGGGCATGAACACTGACTCCCATTCTCCGAGCCTCAGGTTTGCAATAAGTACGATTCCGGTTGGGATCACACTGGCATATCTACAACATATTACCAATCAGTCGGTCAGTACCTTGCCTGAATGTCCATTTACTGAACATTCATTGAAGCTACATATTTACTGCATTAAAACTGGGTTTACAGAGACAAAACATTTCATCTTTGCAATTATTTAAAATTATCAGTGCTAAAATAATCTCAAGCAGCTTTCAATATCACGCACACAAAAAATGCATACCCCAACTGATACTGTGGAGACGCTGCTCTTGGAGGGATGTCCTCCGTCACTGACCCTTATATCCACCTTGTAATTCTTGGGGTCATGCTGGGCCAGGCTGAACGGGCCCTGTTTCACAATGAGAGCTGCTGTGCCATCTATACAAAGAGATACAAGAAAACACACATAGTAAGTTAAGTACAAAATATCACACCACCTTTGCTTCACAAATTTCCCTTAATTTGCCTCACTCATCACCTCGTTTCACTAAAGCAGAACTAATGCTCACCTGCTCAGTCTACAAAGTCTATTTATGTGAGTCATGCTGAACAGATAAGACGAGATTTGAGATAAGACAGCGAGGAGAGAGTGACTAAATAAAGGCAGAGAGATCATTTGTGGTTACGGCTTTGATGCATTTCAGATTGGAGTCAATTAGGATCATAAATAATCACAGAACATAAAAAAATCTGCAAAAGCAAAGCCTACAAGGAGCTAAGGCTGATTTTAAATGAAGTGGCAGAACAAATGTATTAACATAGATCACTCTCCTTTGCAGAAGAATGTTGTTGTCATTGGAAATATCTCTTCATTACAGACTACTCTGTATGTAATTTGGTCTATCAGTGACCAGACAAAGTCTGATACAGAAAACTTTGGTCATCTCATTGCCATAGTTTACATTTCGTGGCCTCTCATCGATTCTTTTCTGCTTTTCTTGCCTCTCACCCCCCATTTCCTGGCACATGGGAACCCCCACTGTTAAGACAGAGGTTTACCTTCTCACTCCCATTCAACAAGAGTAATTGCCATATTGACTTGTTGTAATAATGTATGATCTTCAGTTACAATAAAAAAGGCACCTTGAGATTACTGTTATTGTGACGTTATTAAAAAAGCTATTAAAAAAAGAACTGAACTGAATTGCAGTTTTAGTTAAAAGAAACTTGTTGAGTAGATTACATCGATGTCCTTTTCATAAACCTGAGCAACAATACAGTCATTAGTCAAACTCCTGGCAGGCAGAAATTTCCTGCCAAACGCTTTCCTCCACAATATCCCACCACTAGAGGAATTTCAGAGAGCACAATGGCAGGAAGGACCCTTCTGACTACTCTCAAATAAAGAAACACATTCAGTAGCTTTGGTTTAAGGTCAAGTTCAAACAAAAACAACTTTGCGATTTTTGACATTTGGACTTGAAGTTCAAATCCAGAGTGTTTAACAGAAGCCCTGATTTTTCACCAGCATGGATAACTTCCTGCCTGAAAGCATTTTCACAAACACTTGCACAGAGTAAAAGTATGTTCTTACACTTAAAGTCCTTTAAAGAGTTGCAATTCTTTTTCATGTACAAGTATTTCCAGCGAAAATCAGGTCACACTGTCTTGTGTGATTTGTATAGGGGAATACTGAGAATGTTTACTGAAAAGATCTATTTAAGTATTTGTCCCATTGTGCGTTGAACACACAATCATTTCTACCTTGGAAATGAAAATATATTAAATACCTGCACCACAATTTATTTATTTATTTATTGTTTTTAAACTCTTCGTGAAGGATATGTGACATTGTTGCTCTTTGAATTTGTAGTTGAAAGAATGCTCATGAACACAGATGAGTATATAAACTCTAAAACTGTGCTGCAGGTATTTCAAGCGTCCGTGTATATGGGAAAAGCAGCAATAATGAATACAGGAGACGATTCAGTTCTGTAACAATTCCTCAATGCTGTATAGGAAATAAACAGTGATGACACTCTGGTGGTATCCAACCACGTGTTGGTCCTTTTTGCATTGATCTTTAACCTATGCAGAGGTTACAGAGACACACTTGTGTGTATTATTCCAAAAGGCCAAGAGCACATAACATGCAGGACAGTGGAGCTCATTTCAAAGAGAAAAAAGTTGATGATAACAAAACAAAAAACCAAACATCAAAAATAAAGAAAAAGCATGCTTGAGAAGACCTGCAATTTCTATTGTTTTTAACCATTTATCTTCACTACAAATACATTCTTTATCTTCTGAATTCTGATTTCTCTGCACGATGAACTAAACTAAATGATGGGACAAAAGCACAAACATGAATGAGACTAGTCTATATACACAGTCTTCCACATAATTTTGACTCTATTCCCAGTCACAAGACATAGGGATGAACAAGGCTCTGCATATAAGGTGCTTAACTAAGTTTATTATCTCAATAACCAAGATAAACCAGATAAAACCTGTATGACAACATCTGCAAAGGTATGTGTGGAAGGATATGGTTGTAAATGAAGCCTTAACTAACCGAATAAAAGATGAAACAGCTTCTGTCCGCCCTTCATCTCATCCCTCCTCTCCGTCTCGTCTCCTGCTCCGTTTTTGTTTGATTTAATCTCTTTCCTCTCTCTCTGGATATTTCTCACTATCCTCTCTTTCTCTTTCTATTTACATATTTTTCTTCCGGCGTCCTATTCATCTTTTCTTATTTTTTTTCCTTGTTTTCCTACCTCTCCTTCCCTTTTGTCTGTCCGGCATTAATGGGCTAAGCTTCATGTAGTCGTGTGGTCTGAACATGGAGTCCTGTCACTTCACTGTGCAGCTACATTGACTGTTGGAGTGTGAGATTCTTTGTGAATCCCATAATGAAGGTTGTTTTTT